GAGAGAGAGAGAGAGAGAGAGAGAGAGAGAGAGAGAGAACACTCAGGGCCTAGGCACTATCCCTGAGCTTTTTCATTCAAGCTTAGCCCTCTGTCACTTGAGCTATACCTCCACTTCTTGCTTTTTGGTATTTAATTGGAGATAAAAGTCTTAAGGATTTAGGACTATGATCCTCAGATCTCAGCCTCCTGAGTAGCTAGGATTAACAGTCATGAACCACTGGGCACCCAGTAGGACCAAGTGTCTTTGAAACAGGAAATTTTAGATCCCAGGCCCAAGTCCAGCTCTGGTCACTTGTCCCCATATGCCAAATAAAGAGACCTGGTGAAGATCAGAGAAGGGAGATTCATTACACAGCAGCCATGAGAAGAAAGCACTTCAGTATGGCTTGAGCCATCCTTGGGGTACAGACATGAGCTTTAGCCTTAAATAGACGACTAACTGGGGGAAGGGAGTGAGAAGTAAGCATAATGATTAAACAATCCTGTTCATGGCTTGGTTGATCGTTATTTTGGTCATTTTGGAAAGGGTTCCAGAGGCATTGTGGTCAGGACAGATCTGTCAGGATCACCTGATGAGTGGGGTCTCTGAGGATGCTCTATTGCTCCTTGGGTCCCTTGTCATAAAGCTGTCATTGATCAGTGTTAAGTCCTGGCCATGCCAGATCCCAAGGGGATTGCAAGGGACTGCAGAGAGAATGAATGGCTGAGAGCAGAGTCCCACACAAAAGGGATGCAGACATTCCAAGCTCTTCCCCTGCTTTCAGTAGATTCATGGTTCCAGAAAAAGCAGCTTTTTAAGTTCTCCTCACACTGTGGAGAGATTGGGAGCAGCTCAAGTGGTGACTGCTTCAGAAATTACTGAAATGAGCTGGCCAGACTACACAGGGATTGGGAAGAAAGGGGAAGTTGATGACGCACTCTGACCTCTGGATATCCACTTGATGGAAAGTGAGAGGGGACACCGTCAGGAAAGAGAGGCTCGAGGGCCTTTGCTTGTTTGGGGAACAAAGTAGATGGTGATACCATTGAGCCCGAGAATGAAGATAAACACACATTTATGTTCTGTGTTAAACAGCTAACATTCATTTAGCTGTTGCTCCACTGTGAAAGTAAGAGAAAGAATCATGTGTTCTCATTTTCACTGTCTGCACAAAACTTTTTTTCTTTTTGGTAGTACTGAGGATTGACTGAAGGCCTTGAGGTTGCTAGCTCTCTATCACTTGAGCCACATACCCCTCTTCCAGCCATTTGTTTTCTTTTCTTTTCGGTCAGTCGTGGGGTTTGAACTCTGGGCCTGGGGCCTGTCCCTCAGCTCTTCAGCTCAAGGCTAGCGTTCTACCACTTGAGCCACAGCGCCACTTCCAGCTTTTTCTGTTTATGTGGTGCTGAGGAATCGAACCCAGGGCCTCAAGCATGTGAGGTAAGCACTCTACCACTGAGCTACCTTCTTAACACTTGGCTTATTTTTTTAGATGAGTTCTTTCACTTTTTGTCCAGGCCAGCTTTGGACCTTGATCTTTCTACCTCTGTCTCCTAAGTAGCTGGGATTCTAGATATGGGATTCTACCACACCAGCCCTGCACAAAATTTACTGATTGATAGATTATAATAAAGAGTTGGTGTGGGGCAGGTTAACTATAAAGAAATGATCTGAATGCTAAAACCAACCCCCTCTCCTAATCCTGTCCTAGGAGACATTCATCTGTATCTTGGGCATAGTTATATATATCTTTACTAACCTAGAGACATACTGAGAAGATAAAGGACAATAATAACATCTTGTTTTTATAGAAATTGTACTGTTTGCAGAGAATCTGGTATCATCGATGTCAACTCTCTACTATGACTTGGTTTGGTTTTTATTTATTGTCTATTATCTATAAAAGAGTCTGGTTATGTAATCCGGGCTAAGACACGATGATGTTAGTCACATCCTGCCTCAGTTCCCCATGTGCTGAGATTATAGGTATGGAATACCACACCTGGCTTGTCTAACACCATTCTTAAAAAAAAAAAAAGTGTTTTTTTCTAAAGGATTTTCTTTTTAATGTTTGGCAGAACATTTTCTGCCAAAGAGGTAAAATAACTCAATACTTACTTTTAGGACTTGAATGGCTAGTTGTTAAATATATGTAATGAATAGAGGTACTCTAAAGTAAAAAAAAAAAAAATTCAGCCATGTCTGAAGTATTCATTTAAAGAAAAAGAAAAAGTGAAAACAAAGTAAAATGTGTTCTTTGCTCTCACACTGACTTGTGAGGTTCTTGAAATGGTGTAAAGAAAACAGGACTTGAATCTGGGCCCGGGTGGCTCACACTTGTAATCCTAGCTACTCAGGATGCTGAGATCTGAGGATCAGGGTTTGAAGCCAGCCAGGGCAGGAAAGTCTGTGAGACTATCTCCACTAAACTACAAAAATGAAGTGAGGCTGTGGCTCAAGTGGTAGAGAGCTAGTCATGAGCACAAAAGCTCAGGGACATTGCCCTGCCCTGAGTTCAAGCCTCAGGACTGGGGGGGAGGGGGTGGAAGAGGGGAAGGAGGAGGGCAGAGGAAAACAGGCCTTGAAATCAGGACAGCTGGAGTTGAGTCTTGGTTCAACATTGCTCATTGTGTGACCTGCAGAAGGGAGTTAGCCTACAGGGGTTCAATTTTTGATTTTTGCGTCAGCACTGAGCTTGAACTCAAGATCTGGTGCTGTCTACATTAGCTTTTGTGTTCAAGGTTGGTGCTTTAGCACTTGAGCCACAGTTCCTCTTGTTTGTAGAGATAAGAGTGATGGACTTTCTTGCCTCCTGAGTCGAGTCGCTAGGGTTCCAGGCACACTTGTGCCCAACTGTGGGCATCAGTTTTCAGAATTAGAAATTGGTCATAATACCTGTGTACTCGCTGTGGTTTTCTACTCAGCCCTACCTCCATCCACACACTTCCTGATGCAGAACGGCACGGGTTACTCACTTTCAGCAAGCCTCCTCTGCAGATGAAAGATTTTTTATCCTCTCCTTTCATTCTCCTATCCTTTCATTCTTTTCCTGGATTTTCTTAGCTCAAACGAATGCACATAGCTTTTTTCCTAGTGGAGAAGGGAGTGGACTGTTATTTTTGATGTTTATACCATGCGATTTTTGTTCCCTTTAGAACAAAGTTGAGGAAGGAGATGGTAAGGGATTGCTCTGAGAATTAAACGTCTGTTTAGTACAGCGCCTGTACAGTGAGTGCTAATGGTTCCTTGCGCGCTCTCTCTCCCTCTATTTTTTTAAGTGAATGGTTTAGCTTTTGCCAAATGGCCAGCACAGTTAGTGGCCTGGCAGAGATTTCCTGCATCTCATAGCTTTTTTTTTTCTTTTTTAAATTCTGCTTAGTTTCTCCTCCCTCCCCCCCCCCTTCCCCCCCCCTTCCTCTTTTTCTTCTGTGCTGGTACTAGGCTTGAACTCAGAGCCTGGGTACCCTTTCATGGCCAAAGTTTCACTCTGGCTCTTTGGGTGGTTAATTGGAAGTAATAATAATCTCCCTGACGTTCCTACCTGGACTGGTTTCAAACTTAGATCCTCAGATCTCAGCCTCCTGAGTACGAAGGGCTGATCACAGGCGGGTATTTGGGATAACTTTCCTAGAGCAATAGTAAGTGCAAATAAAATAATGACGACATGGAGAGGAATGACAAAATTCTAACTTATTTTCCCTCCAGAATGAGCCTGGGAAAAGGCACCTCCAAACCTCTGGCCCCATTTTTTTTTCTCCCAAGCATGCACTTCCGGAGTTTACAGGTGGGTGTCTGGGGCGACCGCAGGTTAGAGTCAGTAGGAGGGCTGCCTCCTGGGGGGAAGGGGAGCTTGCCTGTTAGCTTGTGGGGTCGGACTGTAACTGCCCCCTTTTAGGGTGAGAGCGGAGAGCACCCCCGTACCCCGCCCCCAGGCTGGGTTCGAGGCCCACAGCTCCAGCTTCCAGTTTCCCTCCTTTCTCATTATGGGTTTTTCCCCCCCTTTTCTTCTCTTGGTCTGTTTGGCTCAATTCTGCCAAGTTGCTCGGTGGGTGTCGATGATGTGTGGGTGCGGGTGGATGGGGGGGCGCATTTCATCCCAGACTTCTGCCTGCGCTCAGTGCTGGGGGTCCCGGTCTCCCCCCCTACCCCCTGGGGCGGCGCCCGCCTTTTCCCGCCCAGCCCCTCCAGCGCGGGGCACCCCCGCATTTATCCCAGCAGGAATCTGTCTCGGGCCTCCGGGCACGGCGGGCGGGCACTGCTGGGCAGGAGGACGCCACAGCCCTGCCCAGCCCCGGGCTCCTTCCTTCCCCCGCCAGCGCCATCCTCTCCTGCAGCTCCATCTTCCAAGCGTGGGTCCCCCCTCACCCCCAGCTCCCTCCTCGCTGCCCTCCCTCCATCCCCGCCCCCCGTCCGCCCCGCGGCGGGGACCCCCTTCTCCCTGCCCGCACCCCGACCCCCGGGTCCCCCGGGATCGCGCGCACGCAGCGCGGCGGCCGCTCGGGTGGAGGCGCTGTGGCGCGGGCCGCCCCCTCGCGCCCCGGGCGCCGCCTGGGCTCGGCCTCCGCCTCCGCCTCCTCCCGGGCCTCCGCCTCCCCGCCCGGGTCCCCGCCCTCCTCCGCGGTGCTGGCGCGGGGAGCGGCAGAGAGGAGTCTCCGGTGCCACCGCGGCGTCACACGCGGGCGGCGGGCGGCGGGCGCGGGGCCGCATCCGCATCGGCCGCTGCGGGGCCGCGAACAAAGAGGTGGAGCCGAGGCGCGAGGTAGGGCGCGCGGGGGGGGGCGTACCCCGGAATCCTGGCGGTGGAGGGAGCGGGGGGAGGGGGCGCCGACCCCGCCACCCCCGGGCCCCGGGCAGCCGGGATCGCTGCTCTCACTCTCGGGGAGCCCGGGGAGCGCCCCCAGGTCTGCGGCCTCTCCGGCGTCCTCGGAGCAGGAAGCTGCCCCGGCTCGGTGCCGCGGTCTCCCGGGACGCAGCCCCGCACCTGGGGCTCCCGGGAGCCGGGGTGTCGGGGGAATGCTCGCCGGCCCGGGGGTCCTCCGTGCGGGGCGAGGCGTCCGTTCCCGCCGCGCACTCTGCGGGGCTGGAGTTGTGCAACTTAAAGGCTGCGCGTTCATTTTCTTTTTAAATTAAGTCCTTGAAAACTTCCAGCCGCGGTGAGTGTGGGAATCTGTGTCCTCGGCCTGACCTAAAAGGAGACGGAGATGAGACGGCGGGGTTGGATTCCCCCTGGCCCCCCCCCCCGCGCCTCCCCATTCTGGGGCCAGCTCGACCCCCGCCCCAGCTTCGGACCCAGCCGCGGACACCTGGCTCCGGGCGTGTCCAGGCGCGAGCGCGCGCGCGCGGGGTCCCCGGTACCTGTGCGCGGCCAGGAGGCGCGGGGCGCCGCCGGGAGCTCCCCGCCCCGCCCTGCCAACAACAGCTGTTCACGCGCCCCCTCCGCCCGGCCGCCCCCACCCCTTCCCGGCCACTGCTGGGGCCGGTCGCGGGGGGGTAACGGGGGTGGGTGGGGAGACGATCGGGGGCGATCGGCACCGACCCCGGCTCGCCTGCTGTTCCCCATGCTTTGCCCGGCCGTCTTGGGATTCTCAAGACTTTTCAGCCGCATTCCACCGTCGAATTCTTGGGGTGATAATTTTTGCTACATTTTCTGAATGGGCTTCAGGACAGGCCGTTCCGAAATCCGTTTCACAGTTTGTCAATTGCTGCCGTGAAGGGTGCTATTATGTGTTAGCTGTTTTTCAAGCAAAGCTTAGTGGTGTCTTTTAGGCTGATCGCCTTTCTGCTCTTTTTTTTTGGTCGGGTGTGATTAAACAGGCGTGTGTGTGTGTGTGTGTGTGTGTGTGTGTGTGTGTGTAAAAGCAGGTTACCAGGGCTTGAACTCAGGGCTTGGCTGCTGTCCCTTAGTTTTTACAAAATTCAGGGCTGGAGCTCCTCCACTTGACCCACAGCCGCACTTCTGGCTTTTTATTTTATTTTTCTTTTTGGTGGCTAACTGGAGGCTTTTCCTGCTCAGGTTGGATTCGAACCTCGAGTCTCAGATCTTAGCCTCCCAAGTAGCTAGGATTACAGGCATGAGTCACCCACATCCTGCTCCAGCAGTTCTGTTTTGAAGACAAGGAAGAAGCGTGTGTGTTTAATACTGGGTTCATTTGCCATATGGATCATGAATGCATGATTTTCTTTTTTGAACGATGCAGTGCACTGTGAATGGAGACGTTGCCAAGGCTTTAGAAGTAATTTCAGGTAGGAGAAACTTTCACTTTTATCTGTCTGCCCAGCGTCTCCTGTGAGTGGAGGACCTTTATCAAGGCAGCTACTATCACTCATAGAGCAGAAGAAATTGCGTTCATTATGGTTTCTCACAAATCCTATCTATTGCAGTAGTGATGGATACTACTTGAGAGCTCTTTCTGAACAGTGAAGCCCTGGCTATCTTCAGGGATTTGGTCTGAGTTGCCTAAAAAAGCATGTGTTGTTTTTAATTGTTGACTTTGGAGTTTAGAAACTGCATTCCATAGCCAAGCTACCCTACAGAAAAAGCATGTTTGTGTACTTTTTCCTCCCTCTTCTCTCTTTTGGTTCTTAGCTCCTCCTTGAACTTTTCCCCCAGATAACAACACTAATATTCTCTCTTCTCCCTCTCCCTTCCCCCTCCAATTCCAGAGTGAAGTCTGCAATGGGTGTTACATGAATCGTTTTAAGGGGCTGCATACAACTATGACATCTGCGAAGCCTGTTTCTCAGTAAAGCAGATCAAGATGGATGAGTCTGCCTTGCTGGATCTTCTGGAGTGTCCTGTGTGTCTAGAACGCTTGGATGCATCGGCCAAGGTCCTGCCTTGCCAGCACACGTTTTGCAAACGATGTTTGCTGGGGATCCTAGGTTCCCGGAATGAACTTAGATGTCCTGAGTGCAGGACGCTGGTTGGCTCTGGGGTGGAGGAGCTTCCCAGTAATATCCTGCTGGTCAGACTTCTGGATGGCATCAAGCAGAGGCCTTGGAAACCTGGCCCGGGTGGGGGCAGTGGGACCAACTGCACAAATGCATTAAGGGCTCAGGGCAGCACGGCTAACTGTAATGCCAAGGACCTGCAGAGCTCCCAAGGTGGACAGCAACCTCGCGTGCAAGCCTGGAGCCCCCCGGTGAGGGTGAGTAGCCTTGCCGAGGCAGATCCCTGATTATAGGTGGTGAAGACCACATCTTTTCTTCATTCCCTAGCTTCACACTTTCTCAATCAGCTCTGTGCTTTGAGAAGTCTGCCTACCAGATCAGACAGGAGATTATGCCTCAGGATTTAACAATGCTGTTTCCTTTTGGCATGAGTTTGGACACATATAATTCTCTTATTTTTCACATTGCTTTCCAGAGAGTCTTTGTTTTCTCTTAAGATATCTTTTGGGGAGCAGGTAGCAATTATCTGATGAATTCCAATTTTTGTTCCCATTTTAAAATGAAACTTTGCTGTGGTCTTACCCTTTAGATGGGCTTGGGAAAAATCATAATTGTGTTGCTGTGTGTGTGTACGTCTGTGTTAATATGCACAGGAGTAAATCGTAGTGGTGGTCTTGCAGTTTGAACTTTAGGTCTCATACTTGCTTGATTTGCTTGCTGGGCTTGGGTTCTGCCCCTTGAGCCACGCCTCACTTTGTTTTTAGCTGCTTATTTTGGATTGGGAGTCTCAGGGTGTTTTCCATCCCAGTCTGGCTTTGGACTGATCCCCAGGTCTCAGCCTCTTGAGTAGCTAAGGTTATAGGCATGAACCACCAGCACTTGGCTCAACACTCGGTTTTTGTGTTGCTTAGAATCAGTCTATTGGTTTTATGAATGCACAGCACAGAATTTAGTGGTTGGAGGAATTCTTAACAAATCATGGCCACAGGTAGCCGAGTTTTGTTGCTATGGCAACCACAGGTCACTTAAGACTACACTAAAGGCTTCACTGAAGCATCTAGCTTTATGGGCAGGGAAATGAAATATTTCCATCACAATGATTTTTCTTGTTGTTTGGAATAAACCAATTTTACGGGAAGTTAAATATTTGTAATGTTCCAACTTAAATTTCTAGAAGTATGGTATTCCAAATAAACATCAGTTATGTTCCATAGGCGGAGTCTCTGATAAAGATGTGCTTTTGTTATCTTTTTTAAAGGTGAAGGGTAGTCATGGCCATCAGCTAATGAAGATAGTTCCATTTTTGTTGGAAGAAGCAATTTACTAATTGGCCAAACTGGTAAAATGTACTATTAGAATCATTCAGCTAGATGAGGTGGTACTGGTAAGGTGAGCTGGTTGCTGGTGCTGCAAGTCTGTAACCCTTGCTGAGATCTGAGGATTGTGGTCTGAAGCCAGCCCTCCAATAAACTACTCAAAAAAGCCAGAAGTGGCACTGTGGCTCAAGTGGTAGAGCCTTGGGCAAAAAGAAGCTCAGGGACAGTGCCCAGGCCCAGACTTCAAGCTGGTGAGGATAAAAAAAAAAAAAGACAGGGTCTGGGAAGGTGGCTCAGTGGTAGAGTGCTTGCCTTGCATGCCTGAGGCCCTGGGTTCGATTCCTCAGCACCACATAAGCAGAAAAAACTGGAAGTGGTGCTGTGGCTCAAGTGGTAGAGCGCTAGCCTTGAGCTGAAGAGCTGAGGGACAGTGCCTAGGCCCAGAGTTCAGGCCCCACAACCGGCCCCCTTCCCCGCCCCCCCCCAAAAAAAAGACAAACCCAACCTCAAAACTGATTTCTTTCACTTAATCTAGACCTGTCTGACCTTTGTAACAGAGCAGTAGTTACCTTCTCAAGCTCGTCTTTTTACAAATGTGGTGATGACAAGTGTGTAAAGCATTTTAATCATTAGAAAACTGGATCATTAGAAAACAGTTTCCTCACTAGCGTTAGTGTCAGGTTTCTTTTTCTGTGCTGGTACTGGGACTTGAACTCAGGGCCTTAGGCTCTTCCCTCACTTTCCCTGCTTTGCCACTGGAGCTATAGTTCTACCTCCAGCTGTGGTTAATTGGAGATAAGAGTCTCACCAACTTTTCTGTTCTGGTTGACCTCAAACCCTGATCCTCAGATCTCAGCCTCCTGAGTAGCTAGGATTACAGTTGTGAGCCCACCAGTGCCCAATGATATTTCTCAAAATTTTTATTGAATCTTTTTTTTTTTTTTAAATTAGAGAGAACTTGGGGTTAGGGTGACCTTCTAATACGGTTGTAGCCCTGTGAAATGGGTCTTGTAGCTTTTCTTAGGTTTCATTTATTTTGTGGAGTTCACTGGTATCTTAGCTAGTATATATGAAATCATGAATAGTTTATATCTAGAACCGGTGATCAGGTTGATAATTTCTGAGTCTGCTTACTTTAATGAAGGGGTAGATTTGCATCTTTGGAGAGGTTTTCTTTCGGGTTAATTAGACCGGTGAAAGCATAGCTTCTGGCTATGAATAGGAGTGTGCTAGCTGCTGTATTACCTGTTGTGAGGAATGTAATGAATGTTTGATCATCCAAAGAAAAGGAATTTAAGGAGAGGCTCTAACGTTTGACAGAATGTCCATTGAATCTGAAGTTTTCTTTTTAATGTAAAAAAAAAAAGAGATTTGTTTCATGCTGCTTTAAGTGATTGCTCTTTTCTTTGAATTGCTGAGCTTCTAAAATTGAATTTTACTTGTCTTAGGTAGTTTATTTGGAGATTTGGATCCTGTTAGTATTTTTCTGGATCGTATGATTTTCTTAATTTGATTCCAGTGTCTTGATTGACATGAGAATAATTACCTGTAAAGAAGCTCCACCGAACTTGGGCCTTATAACTTGGATGAAATTGTTGTGGTGGAGCTGGAGGTGTGGCTCAAGCGGTAGAGCACCTGCCAGCAAGCTTCAGGCCCTGAGTTCCACCCTCTGTATGGCCAAAACAAACCCCCAAACCCTAAACAAACAAGCAGACAGTTGAAGTAGATCTAATAGGAACTATCTGTTGCTTTGCAGAGGCTGAATTGAACTAGTCTGAATTGAAGTAAATAATGAAGTACGGATGAGAAGAATGTTTTCTGATTCTCAAATGAGAATGAGTAAATGACTAGTAAATACTAGTCCACTACTTTAGTTTTCAAGTTCACATTAATCAAGGCTACAGATATAACACAAGCCCCTGAGACATAAACACTTTGTGTGTGTGTGTGTGTGTGTGTGTGTGTGTGTGTGTGTGTGCGCGCGTGCGCGTGCTGGTACTGGGCCTTGAACTCAGCCTGGGTGCTATCCTTAGCATTTTCACTTAGCATTCTGTCACTTGAGTCACAGCCCCATTTCTGGCTTTTTGGTGTTGAATTAGAGATAAAAGTCTAAGAGACTTTCCTGCTGAAGCTGGCTCCAAACTGTGATCCTCAAACATCAGCCTTCTAAATTGTTAGGGATTACAGGTGTGAGACACCAGCACCCAGCCAGATAAGTACTTTTCCAAAAGGTACTCCTTTTAAAAGCAAGAAGTTTGCCACATGCAGCCTCGTGGCGGTTGTACTACATTCCTTTGGACACCTCCCTGAGGTGAATGACTGCAATAAATCACAAATATGCATCCTCCTCCCTTAAGGAGGTTCTGACCCAGCCCAGTGGTGCAGCGAGCCTGCTCCCACACGTCCTGCTCGCTGAACATGATAACATGTGGAATGTCGCCTCAGTTTACGACTTGTGTCTTGTGTTCCTGTAGCTTGTGGACCATGTGGTTCCCTCATGCAGTCAGCAGAGGTGGGTTGAATGGTATCAGCAGGCTCAGCATTCCCAATGCCTGGCACACCTTGTTCTCAGAATTTTTGTGTTTCCTGCCTGATAGGAGGGAGAAAAGGAAAGAGTGAATATGGGGTTGGACTCACCGGTTTGTTTATCTCAAGTCAAGAATTCCTGTTGGGTGGTGGCCAAAGTGAAGTAGTAGAATGAGCCACTGAGAGTGGGGAGTATGTGAGACATGTTTCAGTGGAGTTATGAAAAAAAAAAGTACCTACAGAAGAGGATAACTATCTAATCTTCTGTACGTTAGACAAGGAATATATGTGTATGAATGATTTGGAAAACATTTAAGAAATTCTTATTGAGTTGTGACCTAATATAACATAAATCTTTGCTTTCTTATGTGTAGTGCCATTGGTTTAAGACCTAGTCCTATCTGTGCATTGTTTCAGTCCATGTAGCTATCACTACTTCATGATTTCATATTGCTGCCATCTTCAAGCAAATCTGTTCAGTAAAAACTGACCACGTGACAACTAATTTACAGTTCTTTGCACTTCATCTATTCTTCTCTTCCTTTAACAAGTACTTATTAAGTGCTTACCTGGTACAAGATTGTTCAGTATCCGCTGGGTAGATAGATCAGCATGGCCAACCAGCTCGAGAGTCAGCTCTTAGACTTGTGATTGTGTGGTCAGTCTTATTGCAGAGGTTAAGAATATAATAGCAAGTCTGGTATATAATTTAGTGTGGTGAGTTAGAGCGAGGAGAGGAGTAGCAGAAGAGCATCTGTCTGTGTGGGAGTAAAGAGTATGTGTGGGCTCCTATACCCTGAGGTCTTAATGATCAAATGATAGTCAGTAGGTGAGTCAGTGCCAGAGAGGGGAGAAGGCAGAGGGAAGAGCACTCCCAAACCCTTGACCTAAGCCAGCCACAGGGAGAGTGACATAAGAGAAGGCCTGACGTGTGATAATGCAGAGGCATCTAGAACCACACGGGCCGCATGGGGTTAAGGGCCACAGGAGTGAGACTGGAAAGATGGATCATGGAGGCCGAGATGATCAGCCAGGCTTTAGAACAGTAGGGGGTTGGAGGGGAGACAGGAAGGCCAGGGAAGTCTAGATGTGAGGCATATAGGTGAAATCACCTTTCCCTTGTATGTATCACCCAAGTATGAGTTCATAGCCATGGCTGCGTTGCTTTCCTCTCCCTTTTCCTATTGCTGACTTTTATAGGCTGGAACTTGTGTCATCCAGAATGTCTTTGATGGAAGGACTGATTTCTAATACTTTAGCATGTGGCTTTTTTTGGAGATAGGGCCTTAAAGAGGTGGTAGAGTACTTGAAATGAGGCCACATGCATAGACACTAGTTCAGTAGGACTGGCGTCCTTAGAAGGGTCAGTGACCCATAGAGAAGACAACTACCTGTGTCCAAGGAGAGAGGCCCCA